TAACGACACTTTATTATATTGTATTAATTTTTATACAAAAATGTCAACAAATGCTCTGAAAAGTAAAAAGGTCTTAAAAAATTTGAAAAAATGCAAAATAAAAGTTACATTTTTAATTTCTTGATTTCTTGATGTATCGTGTATGATAAGAATGTTGTGCTTAGAAAGCAATGTTCTCGGACGTTCAGAAAAAAATACAATTTAAATTCAAATCCGTTCCCTAACTTATAACTATGAATCATAAGTACCTATCCAGCTAAATAATATGAAAATCAATTGAATATTTTCATTATTTATATTATCCATGTTGGCTTATACATTCAATTAAATTTTGTCTGAATATTACGTGATAAACAAATCGATACACGTCTTAACATACCTAATATTTATGTCATACTTAGTTTCTTGGTGTCATATTGTCAACTCCATACATGGACCTGAAGTTTGATACCAAAGCCGTACAAAATTGGCAAGGGTTTTGGTTCAGTCTAATTACGAATTCTATTTTCCAATACTGTTATACGTCTATTATAACCTATCAAGCTGAATTTCCAGTGGTTCACCGAGAAGTTAGTAACAATATTTATGCATTGAGTGTGTATTATATTTCTCAAATCGTCATTATGGTATGTGTTAGAAAAAAAATGTTTCATAGCTTTAACACCTATTATAATGAAATTTAATTGTTTACAGTTCATTTGGACAGTTTTAGAAACGATGGTGTACACATATTTGGTGTTTTGGGTAGTAGGCATTAACTGGGAGTTATTGGTTGTGACAACGTTCGTAATAAATATGTTAATATGCAGATCATATGGTAATTTTACACTTATTAAGAAATTAGAATACCTAAATATATTATAATACAAAAAACCGAATTGTAAAATAATTCCAATTATTATGACTATAGGTAGTGTTCTATCAGCTTTTTTCGAAAAGTTCGAAAACATTGTTATATTTTCATTGGTGTACGATTATCTTGCAGTATCACTTTGTGGCGCTTATATTTCACTTGGGTAAGTTTGTAAGCCACAAATACATATTGGTAATAATAACTTATACATATTGTGTATAGATTATTTAATACTATATAATATATATTATGTATGCTTTTACTTAATCATTAATCATGGGTACGGGTTTTTTATAAGCTGAAATCTTTATACATAATATTGTTTTTGTTTTAGAACATTACCATTTATATTGTATTATTTGAAATATTTTTCAATATTTTTTCTTGGCTGTGAAACATTATCTATACTGCAATGGCAAGACATCAAATCCTTACGTATGTTAGACAATAATATTCACATTAAATTGGTACCTATAATTACGGGGGCGTCATTTGTTGGTTGCAAGGAATAATGATGCAAGTATTTACATCCCAATAGCATATACAAGTATACAACCTACCTCATGCTCTTGATATATTTTCTGCATATTTGTTATTGATATTGATTTACACAAGCTATGTCGCTATTCTAACACAAATAATATGATTTTGACAATTCTAGATCATCTTTTGAATTTCAATTATCCTTAGCTATATAATGTTACATATTATGTTTATTGAACATTTTAAGTATAGGTTACATTAACAAACTTAAACTGTCTTCTGAATTTCGTAGAATATTTTGAATTTAAAAAAAATATTAGTTATCTTTTTTCATCATGTATGCACTTAAACTTAGGTACTTATTTTTATTTGTAATAAAGAAAAAACCATAAACTATTATAATTGCGTAGGTAATGTTAATTGCTAAATAATATTTTTTAAATCTGAGGTTAGGTACCTATATTTTGCGATTGACCTTATAATAATAGTTCCACACTATAAATATTAGCAATTAGCCTATTATTGTCTGTTAGTAATATTTTTTGTATTCCACACAAAACTCTCAAATGACGCCCTTGTAGCTGTAGTATCAATCAGATTGTGCGTTAGTACATTTTAGGTATTTTAATTATTGATTATTCAATAATAGAAATGACGTGTTTATTTTAGCATGCCCAGATGTCGACCACTGCTTGCACGACGGTAAGGAAGTCTTGTTGAGTTACGGCTACGACATTAATCGATTCAACATGGATATCATCATTTTAGGAGCCTTTTACGTTGTGTCCTATATGCTTGGATATTACGGATTACTTAGGAGAACAAAAAAACAACCAGCTTATTGAACGAAGACTGATATAGATAATTTCGTTTTTACTGTTATAAGTATAGGTAAATAAGTATACTCAATAGATGCAATCATTCCTAACCCATGATTTAATGTATTGAGTATACCATGAGCCCTATGGTAAATCAACATCATCATAAATACAATCGTGTATAATAATATTAATATAATATCTGATAATATTATGTAAACTGAGATGTGCACAAAATATAAATGTGTACGTTATTGTATTGGCGAGATTTTATTATTTACCTTATTAAAGTCGTTGAACGTTGCTCGTGTTTATTATTAACTAATAAGTAATAAGTAATAATAATTATTATTTATTTTGTATTATAACTTATCTAGTGTTAATTATTAAAATTAAAATTGCTTATATGTCTGTACGTTTAATGTTCAGTTGATTACTTAACTGATTTATTGTAGTTTGTTGGTACATCTGAATATAATATACACAATTATTCACTAATATTATATTGTGTACAATAGCCAATAAAGGTACATAATTTATACACTTACGACCTACCTATATCCTATAATCATTTAGGTACTCAAATACCTACCTAAAGTTTACATTTCCAATGGTGAATAACTGTTCAAAGTTCTTATTTTGCCTATTATAGTAGTTTATAATTATTGTGTTTTACTATAGATCTCAGTATCTCACTAAAAAGTAAAAACACTTATTAATAAAATAAAATATTGATCTCCAGTCTCCACAGAATTAATATGGATTACATATGCTTCTAGTATTAATTAAATATACTTACATATACAACGAATGCTACTAGATACTCATAATACATAAATGCATGTGACAAAACTATTGGAAAAAAAACTAGATAACAACCTAAAAACAGTATCATAAGAATATGATTTTTAACGTTATATTCCTTTATAGTATATTATAGTTATATGTATATTATATTTAGATTCATAATCATTCAATTTACGTTTCAAGCAATATTATCTAATGTAGGTATGTTGTATAATGTATACGTAATCTTCAGTTATGACCTTTGAATGAACCTACACTACGGTCTATAGATTACACACTTTATATAGTATACATTACATTTATCAATAAGTACTTAGTAAATATAGGCTGGGAAAAAAATAATATATAATAATAATATAAAGTAAAAACCAAATTATAGGTAGGTGCCTACCTAAGAGCATAGACGGCTATTGTCTTAACAATAAACAGTAATTTACTATTAAACTAACAACTAATTGTCTCAATAAGTATTGAAATTTATGAAAATATTTTCATTTACATAATTTAAAGTCATTACTCATTAAAAAACAAAATTTTTAAGATCAATTCATATTATTTACTATTTAGTAGGTACTTTCATATACCTATATTTTATAATTATTAATTATCATTCTAATATTATTTCATTATTTCATTATATATTATGATTAATTATTATATTAATACGTCAATAACGATAGTATCGTGGAACGGTGCAAGAATATAAGTTCGTAGTATAATTTATCTAAATATTTTGAACATAGCCACTTAGGTAGGTATCTCACATATTTAACTAATATCGTTATTTTTCTTCTAATATCCAATTTCGGAATTAAAATTTGTATAAAAAATGATGTAATAAGTAAAACTCATGCGGGTGTTATATTGATAAGTCCAGGGAATCATACTCAATAATTTTTTGTTTTGGATGCAACTAGATCCAATTTGCTACAAAACTATACTCAAAATTGATGATTGGAGCATTTCAGCATTTGTATTGCTTTAAAAGTTTACGACAAAAACAAAAAATGAATTAATATAAAAAACACACCACTTGAATTCATCCTTCATTACTATTACTATTCAGCTTAGAATCTAAAATGTACTTGTATATTTAAAATGTGTTGTGCAATTAAGCACCTACCAACATTTAATAGGCAACCCGCAAGGTATCCACGAGTAAAATTTATAATTGATAGAAAAATTCAAAAATCACGAACTAAGTTAGTATGGACTGGAATCTGTGGATTAAAACGTTGTTTGTTTTTAGATAGGTACCATTTTAAATGAATAAACCCAAGAGTTATGAACTTAAATAAATAATATTTGATATGATCATACATTTTTGTTCAAAATAATATAATGTACATCCAAATTATGGAAGTGCAAAATATATATATTTTAACTAAAACTAAACGTTTGGCCCCTGACATCAAAAAGGAGAACAACTCCTGGGCCATCACATTTTAACGTATTTTATATTTTATATACCCATAACATATATTGGATCAGTAATAATAATTGCCTGGCCTTTGTATGAATACTTTTTGTGAGTTTAAATATTATTATGTAAGAAAGAAAAATAAATTCTGTTTATAGCTATAGACAATACGTTACATATACTATATTAGTAAAATAGCTGCAGAAAAATTTTACTTACATCATTCAGTCATTATTATTTGTTGAACTGTTAAAAAGCTTATAATTTTATTAACAATAAGTATAAGAGTATATTATTGACATACCTAAGCAATCGGTGTATTAATGAGTTTTATTATTTTAACTCACAAAAAAAACATTATGTATGTACCTTTTGTACTTACGCACTCAATGTCGTAGAACTACAAATAATTGTTTAGTATAATATAGGTATAAATACCTATGTATGTATAAAATATAGTTTCTAATATTATTATTAAATGACCAATAACATAAAATGTGTACAATGTACATCAACTTAAATTTTTTATGTAGAGGGACCTAACTAGATAAAAATATGCAAGGTATTTTTTTTTCGTTTATATCTTGCGTAACAACAACGTAGATTGCTCTCGTACGTGATCTAACTATATTACAGTTTGACATCATAGACACAGTTTAAGTGTGAAGTTTAGAATGAACGCAGGAGTGTTGTCACGTCATATTCTGTGAAATGGATCACTTAAAAGGTCGTGTGGCCGTGGTCACAGGAGCTAGCGCCGGGATCGGGGCAGCAACAGCTATGAAGCTAGTCAAGGCTGGCCTTACGGTGGTGGGAATAGCTAGAAGGCTACAAAGACTTCAGGTACTTACATTTTAATATATTTTCTTCATCGACAACCCAATAGAAAAATCCCTACATGTTTGATTGCATACACATCTCGAGCATGCATGTTTGTACAATATTATACACATTTTGATCGTTATTCCGTTCGTTTTTTACAAATATAGGTAACTATATAGTTGTCTTTCGTCCGCCCCATTTGGAGTGATATTTTTGGTCGTTGCCGCCTTATTACCAAAATAAATAAAAGATGTGATTTTGATAATACTTTAGAATCTTTAGATTGAAAAAAATTTAAGTATGGGGCCATTGTCTGGGATCCTCATATTGCCGATAATGCAAGACAACTTGAGAATGTTCAACACAGGTTCCTACGCTCTGCTATAGCTTATACTTAAAATTCCTCATAACGTGCTCCTCATAATTATACGCCGATTGCTTCTCACCTTGGTTTAAACTACGAACGTAGTCGTCTATTAAACAATAATATCGATTCACCTGTTCTTCCCTCTCTAATCTGCATCCAAGTTCCTTCTCAACCCACTGCCCTTTTCTTTCCATTTATCAACTGTCTTTTATGTAATTCAAACTTCGAATGAAATATTCATCAAATGTGCGTATTAGAATTGTCTATACATGATAACATTTTCAAAATATTTTGACTTTTTATATACATGTATGACATACGTATATTAGGGTGGCACTCAATTTTTTTTTTTAGTTTTCTTATGTTTTTAATTTGATCTATTTATAATAAAATTGATACTGTGAAAGTATGAAAAAAATTAATAAACTTAACGAAGTCGCTCAAAGCACTTAAAAATACCAAGTATAAGATAAAAATATACCTAAAATAATTTTATTTTTGAAATGCTAAATTTAATTATAAATATTAGTTTATATGGTTTACAATCAATTATTTAAAACATAATATATTTGCTATAATTTAATCAATGCAATTCAGTGTAAATAACAAATTTACTTTTTATATCTATTAGACAGTCATTTAACTTTTAATGATAATTTGAACACTATTACTAAACGCGTCCACAGCAGCAGAACATCATCCTAAAAAACTTTTTAGTACGACTTATAAAAAGGTTCGGCGTCTATGTTTTGTTACCATAAGGTCCTCTACTTCAGAGAATCTGTATCTTGTAGCGAGTCCAGACAATAGAGCGGCGGCACCTCCAAATCGAGTTGGATCTGCTGAGTTTTTGACTCTACGATGAAAAAATTCGAATCGGACGCGACTTTTTTATCCGTTTCCGACGTCATAAGGTTAGGCATCGAAGAATACAAGCTTGAGAGTTTACTCGTGGCCACGGCTTCATAATACCACTCACGCCTCGTGCAGGCCTCATTCAAATACATTGGGTTCAACGAAGTCGAAGACATGAGTATAATACAAGCGTGTAGTTATAATATTATATTATAATTGGTTTGTTGTATGGAAAATGTCTGTAACAATCTTTCAATAATTTAACAACTGGGAGATGAAAGACAAGTAATGTTTTAATAGTAGCTGACCATTTTCATGGAGACCATTTTAATATTATATTTGTATAATGTATATGGTTTGCATATTACGCCTGGAATATAATATAATTCAAATTTCACAAGTAAATAAAATAATTCCAAATAATTAAGCTCGTTAATGTACAATATGATTTACCAAGAATGCTTACTACCCCTAAACATGTTTTTTTTTTGACAATTGACATTTATATTTATAGTATTGCCCAGTTTTGGAAGGTAGGTAGACATTTTTTTTATCGATGTTAATTTATAAAAAAAAAGAATAACAATCAAAAGTGTTAAATGTCTTTAAATAGATCAACATGAGTTAAAACATTTTGAAAATTGTATGGAGTATAGAAAATGCTAATATACATATTTAGTGAATGTTTTATGTATCCACAGTCATTTATTTTCAAGTTACACCAAAATCTAAATCGATTTTGAGTAAAAGTTCCCGTTATTATATCTTAATTGTTTGTTTGTTTTTCCCGGCGCTATTGAAAACTTCTGGGAATTTTAAATTTTTAGCTCCCAAACGCGCCAACTGGATTCACTTTTCTACCGGAAAAGATACTGAAGTTGAAAATCAAAGCTTTTTTTCGACTACTCATATAGTGTACCTTGTATAAAGACATTTGACATTTTCGATTTTTTTTTCAATAAATGTTGATACATTTTAGCATCCTCTTATATAGTATACACCTATAAACCTCTTACAATACTATTAGGTATAGTATTGTGTTTGATTATTTCTTACATGTGTATTGAATTATAATCATGCTTTAAAATTGTTTAGGATTTGAAAAAAACGGTGGAAGAACAAAATTTCAGTGGTCGGTTTTTTACAGTGGCATGTGATTTGACGAACGAATCAGAAATATTGAACGCTTTTAAATGGATTGACGAAAATATTGGTGCTATACATTTTATGATCAACAACGCCGGAATAATAAGGATATCTAAAATGTTAGGTAAGATAATCATTACGACCTAACAAGGGAAAAATATGTATTGTATTTAATACATTTCCCATATACAATTGTATTTTACAGACGGTTTGACAGAACATTGGCAAGAATTAATTGACTGTAATGTAATAGCACCTACAATTTGTTCGAGGGAAGCTTATAAACTGATGAAAAAGTATAACGTTAGTCATGGGCATATTATACAAATCAACAGGTGGATAACATAAGACAACTATTATCGTAGAATGCTATGTAGCTATCAGTATTCAGTGCTATTGTGAACATTATAAATTTACATGTTACAACAATTTTAAAAATTGTTTATTGAGTTCATTAATATATATTACTTACGGGAGTACGATAGAGTCCCGATTTAAATTAATATAATTTTACATGTGGGCTGTGAAGGGTAAAACATTGATTTGACTTCTAAATAATTGTCTGCTACCTAATACATATTTTGTGAACACATTTGAGATTTGAATAATTAATACATTTATATTATTAAGCTATGCGATTGCTTTTATCGTGGGCCTGGCCTGATGACTGAAAAAATATTTTTCGTGACAAAAAAGTGTGACCGTAAGTCATAAGATCTTATTTTTTTTCTTTTCGGTCGCCGCGCTAAAAAGTGTAACTTGAATTAATATCATACAAAACTACAGTAGTACATGATACATAACTACAAAATTGCTATGCAATAGCTAGCTTTACCACGGCTGTCCCCGAGTGCCTCAGACTTTTTTACAATAATATTACTCTTGGTTATTATTTGTACACATAATGTAACGTATAGTATAATAATATTACATCAATATATTTGCATAAGTATTTTTTGTTTTATTACATATTATTATAATTACTAATATTTACAGACGTAGACCGTAGACGTTCCTAGTTTCGATGATTTTCATGCTCAAGTTTATCTAAAATATATTCTATATTTAATTTTATCTTCGAAATCTGTACTGTACATAAGTTTGGCATTAATATTTGATTGCAGTATTATAGACAGTTTAGGAATTTTCAAGAAATCCAAACGAAATTCAAACTATTAGCACTTGCCATTTATTGACCTATATTCCGTAAATACATATAAGTTCTGTTGTTCATCTCTATTAATTTTATATTTCAATCGGTTTCAGTATAACGGGCCATTCGTTTTCAATTAATCCGGGCAACAAGATGTACAATGCGTCCAAACAGGCTCTTAGAGTGCTGACCGAAGGCCTCCGTCACGAATTGGCCGTGGCCGGTGATGGCCACATCAAAGCTTCTGTGAGTTTATTCACCCGTATACAGCGTGGTGTATAGGTACTTGTAGATGTTAAATTTGGGTGTCCTTGTAACTGACCAAAAAAAAACCATAAAAAAATGTCAGCGGATTTATCTCCCCCTTCGTCGGTGCGCCACTGCCCGTTTGTAATGCTATATAGCACTGTTATAGCATGCTTCAACGCTTGTATATTGTTTACACGAATTTATAATATGCAGTGGTGCACTAGTGCTATACAGTGTAACAATATTATAATTGTCTAATAATTACGAGGTGTAACCGTGGAGTACTGGATCTATATAATTTATGTAACTGACTAGAAAAAAATTGAAATTTGATCAAAAATTAAACGGATCTACGGCAGAGCTATAAATTGTAAACCCAGGAAATACTTTTACACACAAAACCATGGTTTTGTAACTATAGAGTTACTGGCATAGTATTTCAAATGTCGATATTTATATATCTATAAAATACATAATACATATTACATTGGTTTACTTCCGGAAATATGCATAATTTACCAATATCTATACCAAAACTTGACACATCTATTTTCAAAACGTGAACTTTAGTTAAACTCATATATTGCTGTAGCCGCTATAATAATGTTGGTATACTGCAGCATATAAAACGTCGGGATTTTTCCGATGTGCAATTTTTTTTTGGTACCCTGCAGTAAATAAAATTATTTCATTAATAATATTTTATGGTTCGTCGCAGAGCATCAGTCCCGGTTTTGTTGACACAGAAATATTCGATGCGGCCAAATTATCGCACAATAAAATGAAGCCGTCAGATATCCTGAGCGCAGAAGAAATGGCTGACATGATATGTTTTGTCATGTCAACCGGACCAAATATACTGGTAAATAAAATTTAAAATTATCCATTCGTTATATCGCCTGCATTCAACCGTTTTCTATGGATGTTGTTACTATATGTTAGAATGTTACATCAAATTAATGTAACCATTATTTATTAAATTCGCATAAAATAAATATCTATTTTACAGATCGCTGAAATGATTGTTCTAAGCCAAGGCCGTTGCATCCAATCGTACCCACGTGAATAACAAAAAAAAAAATGTAGAAATAAATATATACATGGCTAAATAGCCATCAAACTGAAAAGTGATGTTTCTCTATATATAATATGTTTGAATAGGTATAAAGTATGATCACTTCATAATAATGTGTATACATGAATATCCCTGTACCAATCGAGTTTTCACTTTATCAAAAAGTTCTAGACATTTTCATGTTTAAAAGTATTTTATGGCTACTAAAGGTATTTATAGTGTTTGTATAATATGTATAATATGGCAATTAAACACAGAATCGAACTTTCTATACAGAATTAATGCTATAACAAGCCTATAAATGAAATCATCAATTTAACGTTTAATGTAATTGACTAATGACTTATTATTATTTTAATGCTTACAAAAATTACCATAATACCTACTACACACATCGAATCACCAAGTATGCTCTCCGAAATTTATTAGTTTAATAATGCATTTTCCTCAAATTTGTTGTACTACTTAAGGAGTTTTTAAATGAAAACCTACATCTCTTCTATTTACTGTAAATTATTTAGTGGATAATATTTTTAAAACTTTAGATGAACCTAATTCAAAGTTTGAACTTTTGACATATTTGAACAATTGAAATGGTAGTTTTTTAGTTATTGAAATGTTCATATACTAAGAATAAAAGTTCTTAAAATGGTTTTACAAAAATATAAAATACATTTAATATTGGATCTAGTGTTCATACATACTTGGACCATTTTTAAAATTATACAAAATAAGTATACAAGGTATATTAATATCTATAGGAACTATAGGACTCATTTATAGGAAACATGATATTATTATTATACTAATATTTAGTTGTTAATACAAAATGTAAGGTAATTATACATATTATTATATATTTATAAATAAAGTTTGCAATAATTTCAAAAAATTGATTTTATGCTTAACTATTAATTATATTTTTAATCATTAAATAGGTAGGAAACAGCCACATTTCCACATTACAAAATCATTAGTCTGTGCAGTTTGTTACTCCGCTGTGCAGTATATACATGTCGAGTGGGTCACTTCACAAGTAGGTCTTAGCTAAACTTACAGAAACAATAAGTCAAATTTCAAAAATGTCAGCATTTTCTACTGTAGGGAAAAATCTGAACCTAGAAAAATATCTTGATTCAAATCCATAGGTAAGTATAAATGTCACCTTTAATGCTTGTACAACTATACAAAATACATAAATAATAGCATTGAGTAATGAGTATAATAATAAATTAATAATATTATGTTAATTCATTGAACGATATTATATACTTATTCAATGATCGTAGAGGCCTTTTTAGAGGTTCTGGTAAACAATCTATACCTACTGAACTAAATGCCGTCAAATTACGACTAAAGATCAGTTGGTGTACTGAATACTAAATACAAATGTACTATAACTACTAGATTAATGTCTAAACTCAATAGTCAGTCTATGATTTCGACTCACTTTTCGACGCCAATCACTGACTAAGATATAATATGACCTAACCACGATATGTGACGCCAAGTGAATAACACTTCATTTTTTATCTCACGGTCTGAGATTATTAAGTTATGGTGAAAATATCGTGATACGACTTATGACTCCGAACTCCGGAAACGTTTTGGACTATAACGGCAACGCCATCTACCGCTTTGAAAAAGTCACTCATTTCTAACCGCTAGTTAGCGCGACCGCTTACGATTTTTTCGTTTTTTTTTCATGGGGATTCGATATTTGGATACCCTGATTTTCTTTCTTTGCCTAACACACACGTGACATAGGATTTTAAACGTGTTCTTTACCAAACGCAGAGATTGATTTAGGTTAGCTGAAATTCCGGAGAAAACAGATTTGAATTTGTCGCCAAATCTTCTTGAAATCGACTTTTCCACATTTTTGATTTCAACTTCTCCAAAAATGTTTCAACATGACAATTTTGTAGTTTCTCTTTTTTGAAATATGGGAAATTCGATCTCAAGTATCGTTGACCTTAGACCTATAAACTATTAAGCTATAGTTTATAGGTCCATTGGTGTAGACGACAAATTCAAATCTGCTTTTAGAATTCTTATCGCTTCATTAAATCAATCGGTAAATTTGGCAAAGACCACGTCTAAAATCCTATGCCACGTATGTGTTAGGCAAAGACAGACAATTTTTATTTTTATCATCATTTTAACCCTCATCGTATCGTTTGCATTATTTTGTAATTATTATTATTTTTTATTTATTTAACATGACGGACGGAAAGCCCAAATTAAAATACAACACAACATTTGTCACTTGGTATTTACATTTTGCAAAAATATAGATATTAATTTTTCAATATTTTAATACACAAGATGAACAAAGCGGGTTTCAGATGCTCTGCTGTACATTAGGTGTCTATAATGTGATATAAAATCACTGTATACAAAAAACGAGTCTGAGCGAAGTCGGTACTAAGTATATTTAATGATATTATTGTGATTAAAGTATTTTATTTTACTTTAGGCATTCGCTAGTACTATATAGTAGGACAGTAGGTTACGTTTGAAAATATCATTGTGAGTATAAAATATAATAATATACTCGAAAAGTTTCATATGCCGGCCCCTAAGGCCATAAACAATAATTTTTAATTACAACAAAATAACTAAACCGTTATTCTTGGTTTTAACTTTTAATATGTAATTCTATTCAAATTTTAACTTAAAATGTCTATAAATAACTCAAAATAAGTCAAGAAACATGTATATGTACCAATGTACCATGTAAAGAAAATGATAAAATAAACATTCAGCGAAAATCTTATAGATGTAGGGTTATTTTTTTCAAAGTTACACCTAAAAACAAAATCGAATTTTTCGAAACAGATTTTGCACAAAAAACTAGGTTTTCCTTAATTGTTTGTTTGATTTCCTTGACGCTTTCATAAACAACTAGAGATTTTTTAGTTTTTACCTCCGAAATGAATGCCAACTAGATTAAATTTCCTTCAAGAAAGATGCTGGAGTGGAAAATGTAATCGTTTTTACTGCCCCGAAACGTAATGACAGACACAGTGAAATAAACAAAAAAAAAACACATTGTACAATCAACAAAATCCATCGCTCCGCTCGGAATCTTAAAGAAAATAGTATATTATCTTGTGGCAACTGAGCTACTTCGATGGCGGGCGACGTGTGCGGCACGAGAGCCCAGGCACCAGGCGAGCACCACCATTGACTGAATTGCCTTCCTGCTCAAGCTACACATCATACGATTTTTTGTCACGTCTCTGCGTTCATCGACCATGGTAAAGGTAATGCAGGGATCTATGCAGTAATCAGACTATTTTCCGAAAGTTTAATTTCGTGTAAATGTTTACGCGTCGTGCAAGGAGGTAATAATATGAATATAGGATGTAACCAAAAATGTACGTTTTGTAGGCACCGTGCCACCGTGGTATAGATTTCAGTGTCTGGTTGTGAAAGAGATACGCCTGGCACTTTTTGGGATTTCCATTTTACCCCACCCGGCACTATGAGGATTCCCACTTTACCACCCCGCTGGACGGAAAAGGTTGCTTTCCAACGCTTCAATCGTCATCGAAAACTAAACTTTCGGTGCAGGCGTAACAAACACAAATTTGTTATTTGGTTAAAGTTACATAATCAAAAAACATAATATTCGGTTCCATATTTTCGATGAATTTCTTACAGGCTTTTTCTTAGGATTACAATCTCAACGATTAGAGAAGAATGTTTTGATTTTTATATGGGTGTTTTTTTTTTTTTTGATCATGTTTTGGTACAGAAAATTTTCTCTAACCATCAACATTTCAATCACCGGCTATGGAGAGTGGTTTCTGGAAGCATTTTGAATTGTAAATTGTAATATTATATAATAATTAATAAATATATTCAACAAATCTAATTAACCCTCCCCCCCCACATACTTAAATAATAGGGTTAGCTGAAATCTACATTTAAGTCTTAAATCATTAATCAAACATAAATAATCAATGATCATACAGACATGCCTACTATCATACTATCATTTTCCATTAACATTTCAAAATATACTTCCTATATGGCTATATTATAATTGTTAACTATTGTTTTCCATCATTAAGTATTAACCTATTCACTGCAGTTCAACCCATTTTACGGTAGGTACAACTTTTTTAAATGTGAAGTAGATGGGAATTTAGTTTTTTTTAGTACATAGTTATTATATCACAAAGTCAAGTTGTATTTTCTTACTCACAAATTCGCAAGCTATTCATTTAAGCCTTACTCCGCAGCCGCCGGTTTATTTAGGTCTTTGGTAGTTATATTATTGGTATCAACAGCTGGCAGCCCGACATGATTGGAAAGTGCTTGCGGGACTTAGCCCCCCAAAATTAAACAATTTTAATTTGTTTCATATTAATTAACTCGTTCAGACGACCGTTCATTAGTGTACAAAGATTTTAAACCCTACATCACCCTTAAGATTCAACGCAACAAAATCCTCTTATATGTAGGTACTCGAATTGTCTTTGCAAATGGCCACAGCCAATGGAACTAATTTTTAGAATTTTTTTAAGTACTTGTTATAGGATTGATTTCATACAAAGAACTTCTAAACAATTTACTCTTGGTCAGATCTGTCGATCTGCGGCATTATTCTAAAGACAACCCATGGTTAGAGTATTTGAACATTTATTAATTGGCTTACCTAGATTGGGAGTAAGCCACAAAATAATTTTAAGACACAGATTTCATACTACTATAATTGGCACTACGTTTAATTAATATTATATAATTAATACAACTTACAATAATTAGACAGACAATATTGAACACCCCACAAAATTATTGTTCAATTAATTAATTGAATACGTCACGTCGTCACATTGTCATCATAAATGATTTTATTGAAGAATGAAGATTGTTTTTATTTTCATGTACCGAGTTAAGTAGTTTCCATTTTCATCCTTGAAATTGCATTGTTCAAACAATAACCATTAAACGTAAGTGATGTAAAAATAACAGTTTTTAATAATTGATACATAATATAAGATTAAGTACTTTACTATACCCTGTTTTGTTATAGAAACAAGTTTTAATTAATTTTTGTAGTTTAAGACTCTAGGTACATGTTCAGGCTTTCAGATAGTGACATTATTTTTTTAGTTATCGTTTATTGCAATATAGGGTACCTCTATTAAAAGTTATAAGACTATTTAATAGTTGATTCAATTAAATATACCTAACGGCTAACACATGACGAGCAAAGCACCTTGTAAATTTGATGTTTTTCGCAGAGCAGAAAAAAAAACAAGTCACAGACGGCAGAAATATTGATTAGAAAAATTGTAATCGTGATATTATTTGAATGCACACACTAGTCAACATATAATTTTCATCTATAGGACTATAGGTATATCTTACAAAAACATGTTATATTGGCCTCCCGTATACCGCCGCCGCGTACGAAAAACACTAAAAATAAAAATCGTATTACGGCAAAATTATATTATCTGCTGTTAAATAAACTGCGACGACATAAGTGCACCGCACGTGGACGTCATTAAGATAACGACGAAATGTCGATAACGCAATGCGTCTCACGAAATAATAAATTTAATATCAATGATAATAAAATGTACGAAAATAAGAAACCAACGATTACTATGATATGGTCTGGGAGAGCAGTGCCTACCACCGGACTCACCCTCCCTAAATACGCCAATAATGTGTACTGCAGTTTACCCATCAGTGTCATATTTTAATGAAGTCCTATTCTTATCATTTTTCATATTACACACATTTAACACCTGAACAAAAACACTTAGCCCCACTTCCCATTGGCTTCGTCTTTTTCAAAAATTTCTATTCAAATTATTTTTGTATATACTCTTACAAGGTTAAAATAATAAATCACACATATATTCGTAAGCTGCACTTGGCAAAATACTATGGGTGCAGAAATTAAATATTGCAGAAATGCAATATGCAGATTGTAAAATGGTATTGACTAACAAAATTTATTTAGACTATAGGTAGTAGTACTAGTAGCACTAGGTACTACGGATGAACCATTAATTTTTCATTTGCCACTTCACATCTTGTTTATCAGGCCTTGAATAATACCAGGAGGCCAATTGTACCCCATGGTCCCATACTCCCATGTCACCTATGTTTATTAATTTAAAAAATATCGGATACCGTGGTCAAAACCATATTATATCCACACAACCGATGTTCAACTAATTAACCAAATAATCTTGGCCCATACGCTGGCAATGGTTCAATAAACATTTGTCACACGACAAAGAAACCCCAAATACCAATTTAATTAGGCTTTGCAGGAGTTTTAAATACTAACCTAACCCAATTCAGGAAACCGTAGACATCAACATAGAAAAAAGATAGATTTGGAAAAAAAATGGATTTTGGATTGAGAAGTCACAATAATTTAGATCAAAATGAAGAACAAAACACAATCGTAATATAATACAAAGGCTTAAATCATTTTTATTTGATATAAATTGTAGGTATTTCATAAAATATTTAATAACAAAATAATCATATAAATTACATTCAATATTGAATATTTAATTTTTTCTCATATGTAAACAGAAAATATTTTTATAATAAGTGTGGCATAACCTAAATTTTTTGAAATTTCAATAATACGTTTAAAACAATAACAATTCGTATATATAAGATTAAATTTCATTAAAATAAATGTTACTTTACAAAACATTGTTTTCCTTTTATAAAAATATACACATAATGCAAATACATCTACGGATTAACATTTACAAAATAAATTATAGTATTCGTATAATATATAATCTTACTCATAATATATAAATATTAGTCAAGGTTCAATTGAGCAAGAAGTCAGTCCTTACAGGAGACTTCATATATTTTTTTTTATTGACAACATATTATTATAAGGCACGTAATACAGAAAAACCTGACAGCACCAAAAAAAAAAAAAAATTGTAGTTTACGGAAGACAAACAAATTTTGAGCAATTTTTTTGAACTTAATTTTTTGGCACATATATTAATTGCTCCATTGAGCCATTTCAAATGAATTCAAAAGCTTTATTTGATACATCTAGCCTTAATATAGGAACTCTAACAAATAAATCTTAACATGTTAATATTATACTCAAATTTATTTATTTATATATATATATATATATATATTTCAATTTTTTTAGAATAATTATATAATTTTGTAATATAAATTAAAAATATCAAATTTAAAATGAATGAATCTTTAATAATTTAAAATAATTTATAATATCAAGTCTTTTGAAAATGGTTTATTGCAAAGTTTTATATGGTTAATAAATAACTTTTTGCTCCAATCCTATACTATTTAAGTAGTTAAAATACATATCTTAAGTGTTCTAAACTTCAAACAATACATTCTTAATTGATATGGTATAATATGCCTTAACAATTATAGAACATACTACAATACAGAGTGAATCTGTACAATATTTTAGTTGTAATTTTTAAATATATTTCTTATAAATTGAATTGAAAAAAATAGTAGAATCATATTCATAATATAATATATAAAAATATAAATACATTTTTTTCTTTTCAACCATTTATATAATTTCAATTCCCTGTACCATTGTAGGTATCAAAGATATTGATGTTAAAATAAAAATTTCAATAAAATGGTACTAATATTAAATAACACTTCAAATATCCTTTCTTTCAATTCAATTCAAACAGTTACAAAGATCATTTGAAATTTTTTTCATATTTATTGATACTTACAGTGCAAGAATAACAAGCGTAACCCATGGGAACACATAGGTATTTATACTGAACTTGGAAACCTGTAGTCCTGTTTGTTCCAATGTTGAGGGTACGATATGTCCAAAAGGGAAGGTTCCTTTTGTTCATAAGTGCACACCTTCAAATCTAAGGAACAAGTCAGTCTTTGGGGTACAGGTCGCTCAACATAGCACGGTGGCCTGTAACAACACGGCGGCCAACAGTAGAACAGGGGATAATCGACGTAAGGATATCTGATGGGGCTGACATATAAGGGTCGTTCATTTGACGTGACTGGAGCCAAAGATCGCCTTTTGCATGGATCGAGATCCTCTTCTTCGCGTTTGCGCTTGGTCAAATCTAAGCAAGTAGTAGACAAATCCAGAGCTGAGTCTTCAGTGTCGGATAAGTCTTCAACATTAACATCACTGTCTGAACCCGATGTAGTATCCGCAATGGCCGCAGCAACAGCAACTGCTGTTGCAGTAGCAGAAGCAGTAGCAATTTTGGGGGGTTTCGGAGCACCGGAAGCTTGTTGCACGGCCAACCGCAAGCTGTTCTCTGTCTGCAACCATTTCTGTATCTGACGGCGGTGAATACCGTACTTACGGGCCGTGGCACGTTGGTTCCCTTGACAATCGGAGTCTTGTCGATATGAATCCAACACCTATGCAAACACAAAATTAATAAAATTAATAAATAACAAAGAAGGATGATGTTGGAACAACACAATTCAACTGCTTTCTCAATACACCAAGAGAAGTGTATGGGGGCATAGTATGTCTTGTGCTAACGTTAGTAGTCGTGTCGACGAGTGGGTTTTGGTCAAAGATTTTGCGCGGCAACAGAGTGGCCTCACGCGAAGACGGACCGCCGCGAACAGAACGAGGAAGATTTGAGGGAACGACGGGCAGGATGACGTTAACGCCGACGGACGAGCGAGGCGTCGTATTTTTATTTCGTTTTGGCACGAGACCCAAACGACGGCGGCGGCGGCGGTGGCGCGAGCGCGTAAAATCCGGTGAAATCGAACGGTCCTAATCGGCGGTGACCGGACGGATGAGAATGTGGAGGAGTGGTGGACCGAACCGTAGAACGTGTGAAATAATATTGTTGCCAGTGATAACGAAAAAATGAATATAATAATAGACTGATTATGTCATAAAAATATATAAAAACCACTATTTACCTGCAACTTGAACTGTGGCGGAAATATCCTTCTGGATCCGACTGGCGCCTTGGGCCGCTTCTCTTCCACCTTGCCAACGGGTTCGTCCGGAGCGCCGTGGGCCATCTTGTCGATTAACACTGCGATGTTACACGTTACGAAACGATATTATAAAAATATAATATTTTGATGCGAATTATAACGCAATCGCGACGGTTTGAATTGTGCGAACAAAACGCAACAGTATTTTAATATAGTCTATATCACGTAGAAAAAACAACAACGCGTGTACCGTATTGTCGTATGATAATTACAACAATCGGAATACGATAAATATAATTTATATAAAATATAATAACAAAATTATATTATATATCAACCGAAACGACACACGATGAACGAGACGGCGAGCGACGACGACGACGTACAAAAACGGAAAATAAAAAACGATAAAACAGCGGTTTTATGCTGTTGTTGTTAGTATTATTATTATAATTACTTTAAATATAAATAATAATAATAATAATAATAATAAATAATAGCCTTAAAAACGGAAAAACAAACAAACAAATAATAACCGAGAGTCTGGCCGACACTACGGACTGCGTGCGTGTGAGTGAGTGAGCGAGTGTACGGCGGCAACAACAGCAGCAGCAGCAACACCAGCGGCAGGAGCAGCAGCAGCAGCGTTGTAGGTTTTTCGAGTAGTGTGTTGTAGTAGACGCGGTGGCGCTTGCTGGTACAAAAATCAGTGCCAAGCTGTCTGTGTGCGTGCGCGCGCGTCCCCGTGCCGTGCGTGTGCGTGCGTGCGTGCGTATGCGTGTGCGGCGTTGCATTCACACAAGTCACCTCCCCCCCCCCGACCGTCCGCCCACCGAGCCACAACCAAACGGTCGTCGCCACCACCACTGCCGCCCGCCCGTCCCGCAGCCGCCGCCCGCCCATCCCCGCTGGACGAGAACCGATTCTTGACTCGCCGCCGCCGCGGTGTGTGCGCCTCGTCGACACGGACCATCCAGCCGTGTTGGCGACAAAATACGCGAGACTGACGAGTCGTCGCCGCCGCCGCCCCGCGCGCCGTTCGACGCCGCACCGCGTGACAACCTCACGTTTTGGCCGCCGTCCGACGCCGAGGAAACGGGCCCGCCGGCGACCCACGGCCTTTGGGCGACCTTTCGGTAGGAAAAAAAGTCACGTTGGTGAAGGCGGTACTCACGTACACGGGTGACCGGTAACCGGGTAATGTCGCCGAAGAACGCGGCGGCCAGCGATGCGGAGAAAACGCGATGCCCCGGCGGCGGCGGCAACTGGTTCGGGATGTGGAGACTCGGCAGTCTGACGTACCGAAAGAATTCGACGGGCCGTCGGCGGATCAGATTGCCGGTCGGCCCCGCCGCGTTGCCGCGCTCCCGTGAAATCCGGTCGGCAGCGCCACACCGCCGCTCGTGCATACGGAACGATAACCGTGTCGTCGCCGGGACGACGTGTGGCCGCGCCAACAGATAATAAATAACGATATAACGATATCCGCGGTGGCGGCGATCCCGTTCTTACCGGAAATATTATGTTTCGGCGGATTTTCACGTCCGTTTATGATATTATTACATAATAATATTACGTTTTCGACACACGTTATAATGTTATATTATAATAAGTAACGCATGGTACGTTGCAATAGGCAGTGACGTGAGTGATGCCTAGGAAGGTTTCCTCAAGATGACTACCCCGAGTTTTAAGGTGGCCATCACGATTTTGGACCGTGGGTTTTGCAAGTCGGATCAAGCTCGATTTTCCTCATAAACTGGATCGACCCGTTTAGCCAACACACTAAATACTTTTCAGCCCCGTCAAAAACATTCAGTCTTCTGTGGCCCCTACTAGGAGAGTTGACCTGACGAGCTTAAATGATCAAGATACCCCCCCCCCCCACACACACACACACAGGTTGAAACAATTATGAAACGCAGTCTGACTCGAGTACACTTCCCCAGCTCGAAATGAATATCTTTCCAAACCATTAAAAAGAGGTTACGATAAACAAAATAGACAATCAGATTAGGGGGTAGGGGGCTGGGTAAATGTCAAATGGACCTATCTAACTCGGTGGTCCAAACCCGGTAGTATACGGCCTTACCTAAATTGTGTGGTCATGTGATAAACGTTAAACGTACAAAAATTCTCTATGTAGTTGAAAAATTGTGCAGCACGTCACTGGTTGTAGGTACATCGCCGACGGCGCGATTCGTTCGAAACGTTTCCTCAATGGACGATCCGAGAACGTCGTGACGATCGTAAATCGGTGGCATCTCTCCCTCTCACTCTCACTCTGTCCAGGCTGTCCAGTGTCTCTCTTATTTTTACGAACGAACGAATCGTTCGCTGCGCTCGTACGAACCGATTTCTATTACGTAGGTTACGCTTTCGTCATCGTCCTACCTGTGCGGCGACGATCGTTTTTTGGACTAGAAATATTTTTTACTTCTATGTGTATACCTATTTTGACCAACATCCGTCGAAAATTCGTAAAAGCACGATGGTTGAAAACGTTTTTCAAACCAATCGTATACGTACATATACATTTGATGACCACGTCGCTTATTTTGTATTAATATCTAGAAATCTAGAAATCTAGAAATAATATTATAATGGACCCACCTGTTAACTCCTACTGTGGAATAACATTTGAAATAAATCCAATCGAGAATCGAAACACTACCACAGTACCACCGATTGTCGCGATTCGTATATACATATCGACGTGTATTTTTGTAATTTCGTCCCAACTGGCAGACTATAATTATCTCGATAATTATTATTATTACATTGATAATAACATTTATTGAAAACCCACGTGCGTTATTAAATGGTCGAATATTATTGACCGCTTTATTTTTGTTCAACAGTTTGTTAAAACTACTTTTGTTTCTACTAGTACTTAGTAAGTAGAAGTCTTAGGTTAGTAGACTATTAACATTGTATTATAACTTATAAGATTACAAATCAACATTATATTATTTTAAAAATACATTTCCTAGGTTTTATTTTTTTACCGTAGAATCCTAATTTAAATCTCACTGCTTGCAGCCAATCGATTCAATAGTTTTATGATTGTATATTTGTACTACATAAAATTCGATTACGTATTGTCGAAGCATAACGTGCAACATGAAAGTAATACGAATCTGTGCTCTATCATTTTTAATTATACGTTTAAAATGCAGACATCTTAAATATTAAAATTTAATACATATTTTGAATGTAAATAAATATAATGTGTAACACTATTGAAAATTTGATTAATTCTGAATTTATATTATTCCATTTCATAATTTCAGCATTTTTTTTATTTACTACCCAAATAACTAACAGTACGATAGAAATATAGAATCAAGTTTATTTAAACAAATCTATATTTTACAAAGATATTTCTTTTAAATTATATCAGAACATTCGGATTTCAGAATGATTATGCAATTTGTAAAACTACAGTCTACAGCTAAAAATTATATCATAATGTTAGTATAGTGCTGTCTATGGTGCATGTCTTAAGGCTACTCAGATACTTGGTACCAAACTACCAACCTTCCAATTTCAATAAATTATCACTGTGTTAAATAAAATATTATGCATTTCTAAGGTAAGAAAATATAATACTTGAACATTGGATAATAGTTTAAAATAATTCTTAATTTTATTTTATATCAACAACTATAGTATCAGACCTCGCACCTGGCCCGATCTTAAGACTCGAAATTAGAGGTCCAGCTAATATTATAAATTAAATTTGAATGTAGATACAATTTATTTTTAAATTTATATTCATACTTTATAAAATATTAACGCGTAATCATCAAAATTCGAAGATTAACATACAAGAAAGTGGAATTTCAAATGAAGATTTTTTATAATTTTATATAAGATTTAATGAAAGACCTTGAATCACAACACATTGCGAAAGAAATGCAAATAACTTAATAACACTAAGTTTTTCAGAACCTATAAGACTTAGACGAATCAAAATAGAAAATCCAAAAAAAAGAAACTCCCACTTCAAAAATGGTTAAAGAAAAATTTGGGTTAAATAAAATATTGTAATTTATTAATTATTAGAAATAGTAAATATTCATACAATTCCTCATTTCAGATATACTTTATCGTATAATTTAGTTGTATTAAATTACATATTATTATAGTAATATATTTGGAAATATAGATTAACTCGAGTAAATAGGTATACGTACAGGTATAGGTAGTAGATATAGATTCAAAATTTGATGTGGGGGCCTGGTTAATGTAAATATAATAAATAGATCGTTAATCATATTATGTTACTGTAATCTAAATTATAAATGTTTAAATTTTAAAGGTATTTTACTGATATCAAATTCTAATATATTTTGTTTTGGTTCAAAATAAAAATAATTGTACTTATATTATCCAGTTTGTTTACGTGAATAATTGGTTTATTAGATAATATTTTGACTAATATAATATTTAAAGAGATCATCAGTTTTTGTAAAAAAGGTGTGTACACAGTACATTGCAAAATAACAATTTTTTTTGTCATATTTAAATTAAAATTCTTTACAGCCAACACGTCATGCATAATCGCTTGATAATTTATTTATACTTAGTAATGATAAGGTTAACAAATTATTTTCCTTGTGTCTTAGGTATTATTGTACTTCTAATAAATTATGAATATTCTTGTGCGTTATATTTTTAGCACTGTGGAAAATGTAGGTATATTTATAAACAGACACAGATTAATGAGTGTGGAATGACCCTTTCATTGGTATAATACACTAAGTGAATGTAAATTTCTTTTTTAACAACGACAAAGTAAATTTTGTTATAATCATATTTTATTTAATGCCAGTGTATTTATAGTGTGTTCCTATATAAATTACTACGTCTCGCCGTTATGAAACAGTTTTAAGCACGGGAACAACAGAAATATTATAAATAATAATATTTCAAGTAAAAATATGTAAGTATAACTATATAAAAAATTCCGGTATCATATTATTTTAATTCGGCTAGTTCAAGGATCGCTAAGCGAAGATTTTCGTGAACAAATACGGGGGTATTTTGAGATTTAAAATACCGTTTTGTGTCTATTTTTACTCGTAATATTGAATTCGTCATTAATAATTTATAAACGAATCAAGAATTGATTTGGCAACGGGCGCGGTCCGAACGGAAGCGGGGAGTTTGGTAAAATCGGCGTAAACGAAACGAAAATAAAAATTCGGAACCGATGACGGTGGCGGTCCACTTGGTACGGATGTGGCGTGTATAAATAACACGACTACGGTTTTTCAGGTATTTCGGGGGAAAAAAGAAACGTAAAGCCAACAATCCAACATTTATAATAATAATAATAATATATTATATTATTTTATTGTCGTCCGGTCGTACCTATAATATAATAATAATAGTCCCAACACTGGAGGATACCGTCCTCTACTCCTCTCGTATTAAATCAGTTTCCTTTGTCCGGACTGTTCCGTTTCCAAATAATAATAAAATATTATATTATATATATATCGAATGTCATCGTATATAATATATTATTATTATTTTCGTCGTTGCAATGGTAACACATTATTATTATTGTAACCCGCCAAACAGATAACGCGTGAAAAAGCACGTTCGGACGGACGTCCGAGTGCGGCGGGACGAAATATCGCGTGTTCGGGACAAAAGGGGTCGAAAAATGTGGAAAAATACC